GCCTTCGAGCTTAGCTTCAGTCTTCTTGATGAAACTGATCAAGCCGCCCTTCTTCTCCGTCTTGGGGGCGGCAGAGGCCTCGCTGGCAGCTGCGGGTTCTTCAACTGGAGGAGTGGTTACGGTGTCGACTGGAGCAGTGACAGCTGCAGCGTCGATGGGCTTGTTCTCAATCGGCTCTTCAATCTTGGGAGCAGTCTCAGAGACTGGTGGGACATCGCTGGTTGTCAAAGCATCCTTCTCCGATTTCTCGGTGGTTGGGCTGCCTACGCGGTTTCTGAAGAGGTTGCCAAACACAGATCCACGCTTGCGGTTCTTCTCGGTTGGGCTGGAATCTTCCTTCTCCTCTTTCTTGTCAGAAGCGACAATTGGAGCTGGCACTGGATATGGTCAGAAATCATCAATCAACCTGGTGAGTGAGAAGACTTACCGGCACTTGCCGTCGAGGCTTCAACCGGCACCTCGGGAGTTTCTTTGGCGTCGTCCTTTGCCGGAACTTCTGGTTTCTCCTCTTTCTTTTCAACATGTTCTTCTTTCTTGTTGAGAAGACCACCGAAGATGCTACCACGCTTCCGCGACTGAGAACGTTCAGCGGCAGGTTTTGTAGTCTCCTCTGCGTCACCAGTGGTTGCATCAGCCGCAGCGGCGGCCGCAGCGGTCGAGGCATCAACCGACTTCTTGGGTTCTTTCGACTTGGAGCGGGAAGCCTTGACGGCAGCCGGAATGGGAGCAATTGCGGGTTTGGCTAGAGCTGCATTAGCTTAGGATCGCGCGTGGGGACAACGGGGCTTCCCAAGAGAGATGTTTATCCACTTACAATATTCTTCGACGTTCTTCTTGTAGCTTTCACTTGCAGTGAGTTCTTCTTTCAGGCTCTTGGCCTCTGCTGTTGCCTTTTCCAGTGCGGCGATCCAGCTATCCCGTTCCTTTGCTGAGGACGCTTCAAAGCGATGGACATGAGCCCCCGCCTTGAAAGAGAATTGAAGCCCTTCCTTCGTGATATTTGAGGCGTCAAACTACAAGCATTTGTCAATTGATGTTACCACGCTTTAGGTGACTCTGACACCTACCAGGTTGATGATGCCAGCAGGGGTTGCCTTATCCTCGACCCGCTTGGAGTAGAAGAGCAATCCCTTTCCTGTCTCGCGTGCCCATGCTGCATCAGAGTGCTTTGTATCCACCTTCTCGGATCGCAGGAAGTTGGTCAAGGACTCGGCGGTCGATGGTTCTTCTTGGAACCAGAAATAGTGTTTGCTGAAGATGAATTTCCTACACCCCACCAGTCAGCTATGTTATCTGCAATTGGATCTCTCGGTATAGGCATACTTGAAGAAGGTAGGCTCCTTGTATCCTAGCACACCCTCCGATGCAGGGACAATCTCAGCAGCAGGTTCATCCTTTTTGACCTCCTCCGTTGCAACAGCAGCGGGCTCTTCAGCGACTGCAGGTGTAGCCTCGGTGGTGTCGGCAGGAGCAGCAGCCGCCTCTGTAGGTTCGGCAGTGGTCTCTGTCTGTTCGGGAACAACCTTGGACGGCTCGACAACTGGTGTCTCCTCGACGGGTTTGGGAGCTTCGACAGACATGTTGCTGGTTTGGTTGAGGGAAGTGTGTTTCGATTGTGTGATGTCAAGTAGGTTGTTCAAGAAAGTAACAACTTGAATGAGGGAGAGAAGGTCAAGAAGAATACTTCGGAGCGAGAATTAGTTCCCTGAAGAATAAGTGGGTATTGAGAATTTGATCAAAGGGAGAAATTGACAATGGCAATCCAGGACCACGAGGCTTTGGGCCGGCAGTCACGTTTCAGGGAAGGGATTGAAGAAGAATTGGTGGGAGGAGATTTGAAGAGGATGGGTTTTGTATGAGAAGCAGGAAGGGATTGGTTTCCAGGAAAGATGAAGGGAGCGAGATTGACAACAGGCTGGCAAAAGGAGTGGTGTGAGATGGGATGCGTCTAGTTTTTGTCTTGTCTCTATCGCTCAAGTTCGATTTGTTTGGGGCTGGCAACGGGCTCTCTTGGGCGGCTCCAGTCACGAAGGCTGCGCAGGGCGCTTACCAGGCAAGGAGATTTGAAGGCGGCCCTAGGCAACGCGCTACCACTGCTGACTCCACCTGTGTTCGCCTTTAACCAACACTAGCTGACCAGGCCCTGGTTGCTGTGAATAATTTGGTGGAGAAACCTGTAGCCTCCCCTAGTCCTTCCCTAGCCACTCCCATGCTAGCTGCAGCACAGACTGACTACTGGTACTAACCTGCGGGTTGCCTCCGCCATTTCTGCTGCCGCCCACATGTCTCCCAGGAAACAAAATCACATCCAACGTTGTGCGATCAATCGATTGACGACGGTTTTTCATTAGTTACCGGGCCTCAATGTGCGAGAATGCGCGGAATCCCTCAACAACCAAAGCACGCAGTGTACCGATTGAGAAGAGATTCACCACTGCCGTCAGCAATCGGCAGGACCATTGACCTGGCTTTTGCAAACCAAGTCCACGCCTTCTTTTCTGACGCCAAGAGGACCTCCTGCAGCGACTTCAGGCTCTCAAACACCAAGTCACGCAGTCTTTTCCGAACTTTGTGTGTGTGAAGGGCGTTGCGAAGCCAATCAGGCGACAAGACACGTCTTGACAGATGCCATAATACTTTCCGCCACGGGGCGCACCCACCCTTGGATCAAATTCTCCCTTTCCACGAGAAGATCTACAAGTCCATGTACGAATACGCTCGCTATAGAACCAGGAAGAACTGCTCGAATAACGAGACGACTTCTGATTCCCCTCACCGCCTTTGATGCGCTCAACCCTCCCTCGATAGCATACTCAAGAGGAGCAAAGAGCATGGCACCCGTCTGTGTGACTCATATGAGGATCTCCGATAACCTTGGACTTTAGAGGACAAGACATGGTCATCTCACTGGTACCAAAAAAATTGGTTGTTGGTCATGCGACCATCAACCGGACACCTGCATAAATGACGTGCCTCGTGCATCCGTCACATGCTCTGGACGAATCCTTGGATACCTGTCAACCTGTGCAGCTCGGTGGCCGATCCGATCACCTTGTTTGATAATCGCAATGGGCACCTCTATGAAAGTAAGAACTGTTCCATGTTCTTCCATCAGCAGGAACCTGACAACGAGGATTGGCCACGGCCAACATTAGCCAAATGTGCCCATGCTCTGCCTCTGTCCCTTTCAGGAATCCGAGGCATATACTAGTGCAAAGGTTCTTCAGTTCGCCGTGCGCCGCAGCATCACGCAGTGCAGGCAAGACCTTGATCCCTTGACTTACCCTCTCTTATTCTGCGACCTTCTTGTTCCGTCGATCCGATTTCTTCGTTCAATAGCATCATCTCTCTCCTCGGAGCGGATGTCACGTACACGTTATCATTTCCCGGCACTATTGCGAAAAGTAGTATTGCTCAATCATAGGTGGTCATGGCGTTGGTGTCGATCTCGATATCTTGGAGACTTTGAAAAAAGCTCTGATCCAGATCACCAATCAATCAATCTGGCGGGGCTCACCAGTCGAGCAGGTCTTGCAATTTCGAAACCCATCTCCACCAGCGAGAAGGAACGGCGCGACGTGATCTCCATGCAGTAGTCCAGCCCCATTACCCCTCAGGGGGTACCCAGGCCCAAGCCTGAAACAAGCTGGAATACTCCCTTTAAGAGTGTCCCAGCACATGCATGGTTTGCAGCCTCGGTACCAACTTACTGAGTGTTTGTAGGGCCGGGTTCCTTTTCGGTAGGACGCTGTCTCAGTTCTCCTATCTTCTCAGTTCGGTTGAGTCAAAAAAAAAGTATGCATCTATCCAGGGCTCACAGTTACCGGACATTCGAATCGAGTAACCGAAAAGTAACCCCAACCCTTCTGTCTCACGAGGACCGAATACTCCTTTGGATCTCGCGAGATTCGAGACGCATCCGAGCCACCAACACAAGTATCGTTGAGAGAAGCTCCGCCCAATTACGCCTACCTACTCGGTACTCGTTTCTAGTCGACCCTACTCCGGAAAAGTACAAGGACGAGTATCCTACAGTTGGTCCAAGCTGAGACCCTAACACGCGCGACCTGCGACCGTGGTGGACTCGGAGATATGTTGGTACTCGTTACTTGCTCCGAAAGGCTCTCTTTATCTATGGAGTATAGAGTATGGAGCCCCTGATCTCCATCGGTTAAATAATGCGCGACGGAGTATCGCCTGCCTTGCCAGCCAGACACTTGCACCGTGATACGCCAGGGTTGGTTGGACGCGAGGCGATGAAGGGAGACGTGCGTCGTGGGTACATACATACAAGCTCCAAGCAGATGCTCGGTTCGAAGTAATTAGTATCAAACTGATCTTGTCTTGCAGGGTTAAAGTACCTACTCGGTTAAAGTACAAGGACAAATCTTCCGAGGCGAGGACGGAAAGATTTCTACCTACTCCATGTTGCTACTCGTACCTCGTACTCACGGGTAGATACTAGATAGATGCTGGGTACGAGGCATGTACCGATAATTACTCGTAGATACCAACATCCTTCCTTACCAGTATCTTGAACAAGTATCTACTATTTGTATGTGTGAGGAACTCCATACCCCGTGCTCGATATTCGGATCAGGCTACGACATGGTTTCAAGCGCATCGAGCAACTAGTACTCATACTCATACTCATATGTTTGACGTCCTCAAAAGCTGAGCTATTGGACACTTCGATGGGATGATTCCAAATCCTTTATTACTTTGTTGTTTTGACAATTCGCTCAAAACTTTTGACGGCCTGGACAGCCTGTACCTACCTACCTATCCGTAAACTCCCCTACCTGAAATGGCCAAGTATATACCGGTTACAGATTTCTGTGCTCTGCCAAATTTCAACACTGTACTGTCGACCGACACAAAGGCACGGAAAATGACTGACTTCTCGACGCTGGCCGAGTTTGTCTCGCTTCCCTTGATACAAATCGTCCTCTTCAAATATGTGCTGTGAAGCCTTTGCAACCCAAACTACAATTCTCCCTTCAACCCGCTGTCGTCAAGACGTACGAAGTCACAGCATCCATCCTTTCCTTGGTCAATTTGAGACTGATAACGAGCAGTTCTTGGGCCACATCTGGATCCCGGGTCTGCATATCATGCCATCGTTTTGCATCAAGTTTCCATGTGACGCAGTCCTTCTCTGCAATCATCGTGGCAGTGCGTGATGTTTGGGAGAAAAACGGTAGCTCTCCACATGGCCGTCCAGACACGATCAGTTCCGAGTATCGACCCTGTGGCAAGTCGTAATCACAGCGCAGAATGCCTTCTTCGAGCAAGTAGAAGCCGTCTGGGAGATCTCCAACCTTGAATAACACCGAGCCTTTCGGGTAAACAACCCTTTCAAAGTATTTCATGGCGCGATACCAAAAATCCTCCGTCTTTTCGGAGAGGTCCGCGAAAATCTGTAGCATCAAAGGCAGAGGTTGCTTGAATGATTGCCACTTGGCCGAAGTTGACGTCTCCTCGTCCAGAGTACTCTGAGCAACTTGATGAAGATGATTGCGTCTCGGGGAACTGCCCATGAATTCTGCCTTGTACGATGACGAAAGCTCTTGAGGCCGGGTTCGAGGCATATCGAGATGCCCTCCTATCCGCCTTGGGCGTCGCTGCTCTTGTTGACGATATAGGGCGGTCAATAGTTTGTTCTCGCAGTGCTCCAGTGCCACATTTAGATCTGGGAAGATCTGAACATGGGACTCTGCCGCAAACAGACCAACATTACGGAGAGCTTGTCCAACCTCGCCATCAACGTCGAGGCTGCTCACGATAAGCTCGACTCCGCGCTTTTGCAGAAGGCGATTGATCCTGGTGAACGCCTCTGCGGCAGAGAAATCAATGCCGTTGATCTGGGCCATGTCCAAGATGAGGAACCTCAGAGGACGGTCTCTAAAGGCATTTTCCTCCAAAAGCGCTCGAATTTGGTTCTCAACACCGACAATCGTCCCAAAAAACAAATATCCTGCCAGTCTGAGTAGAAAGATCTGTCTGCCTGTCTCTCGCAAGAACTTGAGTTGAACTGGGGGTCGTCGGACGAGAGATCTGGCAACTTGTCCGGAGTATGTAGCTCTGATAGCTGTCCTTCGCGACGTCTGTACAACAAAACTCAAGGCAGCAAGCAAGATGCCCACCAGGATCCCAACAACAAAATCCCACACTCCCATCGTGACGACAATGATCAGGATCGTAGCATACTCAAGCTTGTGGACTTTGCCCCATGTTCCGACCAGAGCTTCTTCCAGTAGCTCTATGCCTAGGAGGAAAATCAAAGCACCAACCACCATAATGGGAATGTATCCGATGATAACTGGGCCGGCCAAGAGAATACCGACAGTGCAGCCAGCCAGCATGAGCCCTGCGAGACGGTCATTACCACCACTATCCATGAACAGCAGACTGTTGGTATATACAAGGTAGTTCTGCACACTTCCAAAGAGTCCACTGAGGCAGTTGGACACACCATGTGCAACCAACTCCCGGTCGACGTTCAAATTATCCTCGCCGGTAGATATTCCCAAAGCGGGTACGTTGATTGGTACATGTAAGACGCCGAAGAATGTCAGGGCAAACATGGCTGGGATGGTGTCGGCAAGAGCTCCCCAATGGACCGCGTTGAAGTCGTACAAAGTATAGAAATGATACCAGGGGTTCCCGGCTGGTGGTGGATCGAAGACCCAGCCTCCCGTATGCAGGGTGTCCATTGAAATGTCCAAAGCAGACTTGAAAAAGTAGAAAATTGCCGCAACCGAGATGAAGTAGCCGCCAACCAACAGATTTGATTTTACAAAGCGTTGTACAATGAGCAAAGTGATGGCAAGTAACAAGGGTATGGTCCACAGGGCGATTGTATCGCTTCGGAACAGCTGCTTGAGGGTGTTAAGATTGTACTCCAGATTTCCAGGTAACCGAGCAGAGACCTCGATGCCAGTAGCAACAAGAAACCAGCCGACACCCCCAATGCAGCCAATGAGAATATGGCGCGGGAAGAATCCAATCAACGATCCTAGCTTGCAAGCTCCCATGAGGAAGAACACCACTCCAGTCAAGACGGAGCTGATAGCAAAGGACAGTATAGTGGTGGCAAGGACGGCTTTAGGATTCTGGTCCCCCACCTTCTGGAGTATGGTAAAGGCCATCTTGTGAAAAAAGGGGACCACCTCGATCATTTCGGACCCAATGCCACCTCTGAAGATTGAGCCGCCAGAGGAATACACGACCTGGGCCACAATGGTGCTGACATAGAACATGGCAATTCCATCCGAGCCGAGGCCGTCGAATATTTCGTTCCCCAAGGGAAACAAAATCATGCCGTAGGAGAGAGCATCGAGAATGTTCAAGAGTAAACCCAGGAACACCGCTGGTAGGAGACTGACCGGATGGACAATGGCTTCCCGGTATATGGCACGGGCACTCCACGTTTTTGGATGAGAGAGTGTATAAACACACGACCGAACTCTTCTCGCAGAGGCTCTGCATTTGTGGATGATCCCACCCTTGTCGGCGCCATACTGCCGCTCGATATCCGGATAAAGGCCATATTTTGTAGGATCTGTCCGCCGGTCTCCAATGAGGGCTGTATGCTCATCTGGTTGACTAGGCTCAGGCCTGCTCAACGATAGGGGACGATGCGACATTGTCTTGTCGGTGCCATTCGTGTGTTGCTGGTGCTCCTCCTCTTGACTGATAGAATTTTGTATCATTGCCGTTAACTCGGACACAGCGGGATCGCCGGGTTGGTCCTGGTCCGACCCTGCTGGAGTCACCGGCTCGGAAACTTCTTCGATGACTTCGGGGTAACCATCGTCAGAAGCGGCTGAGGAAGACGGCGGGGAGGTTCCAAGGTGAGAGGTGGTCTCGGAGAGAGCAAAGGCAGCAAGCTCTGCAGTCTGGTCTCGTAGGCCAGCGGACGAAGAATACTGAGCTGGGTCTAGCTGGCCATGAAATGAACGGACGTAGAAAGACCTCGCAGGAGTTTTCTCTGCGGCTTGGCTGGACGTAGAGCTGGCTCGAGGGCGTTCGATCCAGGGACGGTCGGAAACGGCCAAAGGACTGCTCTCTTCGATGCCCTGATCACTGTGAGATGCCTTAAAGGGGGAGCTGGGCATCGGAGCTGGTCGGCCCTTTGAGAAGTTGGAACTATGGCGGGCATGTTGTTTGCTCGAAGAGGTCGACATTTTTAGCTGCTCATAAGGATATCATGTTGTCCCGCACTTCACATGCAAAACTCCACTACTAGTGCCCGGCCCTTTCCAAAGGATGACACGCACAGCAGGACTGGGCCTGAGGAATAGACACTACCTATCCCAATTCGCGAGGACTAGTCGGTAGCCTGTAGTTCTCCCTCGTGTGACGCGAGACAGGCAGGCAATGAGGAATATAGAGCGGGACGAAACAAGCAAGATGCAGTTCTTGTCGTCGCAAGCTCGCTACTCGTGTTCCGGATGGAGGTAACTGTGTGGATTCCTGTGGACTTTGACTCGGGAGCGGCCTTGTAGGCTTGTCCCTGTAAACGACCTGGCTCTTGCAACTTTAATCCATAACCATGTCAGCTGTTGGAAGTAAAAAAATTTTCTTCCCTCCCAAAAATTTCCTTTTTACAGGTCAGTGGAGACGGGAGGCAAGAGGGCATGGCGGGGCTGAAGAACGAGGATCAGGGCTTGGTTCTTGGAGGCTTCGAAGCTAGTGGCGGAAGGTCTGGAAAGTGATGGAGAGTTTGATGCGATTGAAGAGACTGAAACTGTAGCTAGACCATCCACTAGCCCACTGAGGATTTCAAGATTCGTGAGGAGGAGGAAGGGAAAGAAAAAGTCCTTGTAACCCTCGAATACGAGTAGAAGGATGGAGCACCTGAGGCGATGGTAGCACTGCGAAAGGTACTCGGTAGTAGAAATTGGGAGTGGATGAACAGGCCATTGGATGCTTAATTCTCCCACTGTGCCTGGGGAGTTCCCCTCCTAGAGCTCCAACCACCTGTGCACAAGTTCAATGGGCGCTGTAGGAGAGATGTATGCACATCATTCGACTGTTTTTTCCCTCATCATGATCCTCAAAAACATCAACGGCCAACCTTGCTCCACCTCGCCGCTATGGATTGGTAGGACAAGACCCAGCCTCTCTGCCCAGGTATGTTCTTGTAGTCTATGGTCTGATGTTGGTTGTGACGTCCTGATCTTCTCCAAGCAGGACTTAATTACCCCGACTCTACATGGAAAAGTCATACTGAGTTAGACTTCTTTCAGACCTCCGCACCCCGGTTGATGCCACAGACCTTCCAGTCAAACGACCAGCCTCTTCTTGGTAAGAGTTCCACAAGCTGCTCCTCTCTTCGGCAAACATCTCAGCGACTTCCATCGGCGCCTTGACGCAGATCACGAATAATGTCCGGTTTATGAAACTGTGACAGATCAAGCTCGCCCTGGTGCTCGCGTTGCACTAGCTACTGGAGGTAGATGACGTTGCGAGGTTCTTGTACTAGAGGGTTGGGGTATTTCCACAAGGCTGTGTCGAGAAGAACCACAAACACGTCGAGGGCCGGGTAGTGGGAAACGTCGAATGACGAAGCCAGTAGAACGGTCCTGGTCTAGAGAATACGGCCACCATCCGCCATATAAATCGACTTACCAGCCAGTGTATCCTTCGCGGTCCCCCTGATCGCTTTGACTGACCGCTGAATTTCTGCATAGGATTCAGCGTCCCAGCGCTTGGAGGCAGTTTGCTGGGAAGCACTCTCGTCTCGCAGTCGATATGACGAGATCTACTGATACTTCTGGCAGAACACAATTCCACGTACTGGAAGAGATTCCACATCCGCACCAATAAATTTGCTGTGCCAGTACTTTTTCCCATGCGGAGCGAAGTCTCACCTGTGAAAAGTCCAAAAGTCCCCGTAAAACCGGTCAAGTGCGGCTGAATTCTCTGAGCAAAATTATGAAGCAAGGCAAGTCAATTGTCGTTGTAGTCATTGTTGTAAGGATGCCATGCGTCCACAGAACGGGTCGTCCAGGGCTCATTGCTCTTCTTTGGCAATGCGGGAAGACAAACCAAAGCAGCACCTATGTCTACCACCAGCGAGGAATTGAGTCTCATGTCGCGAGGCAGCCACGTGCAGATGCGTCCTTTGATCCGGTCGGGTGGTCGGCCAGTCGCTTCTCGACCACATCCATTCCTCGTTTTGACAGAGTAACATCGAAGTACTGTAAAAAGGCCGGCTGGCAATCTTGAATTAACAGTCACAGAAGTTTTGTTTAGCTTCATCGAGAAGCTACAACGGCCTCCGAGTTTGACGATAGGTATCGATCAATGCTGAACTCAGCATCTCCAGCGAACCTTGATTTCTCAATAGTAACCACTAGGGAGTTGGTCCTGCGTAATTCCCGATAAGCACTGATAAGGTCCAGCGTTGGGAAATGAGAAGAGGGTTCAAAAGGTCTCTCTGTACCCGAGTTACGAATCCTCATAGATAAGAGGTTTTCCGTCGAGATAAAAAAAACGGAACGTTGAGACGACGCCATTCAGAGGCCAATGATCTAGAATGACATGTGCGTTTTTGTCTGGCATATGCAAAACTACTTGCGACTTGCAGAAAGAAGTTTTTAATGACGCAACATGCTTCAAACCGAATTTGGTATGGGCGGAGTGAGGGAGGCACTGGAGGGGTTGGTGGTGCATCAGTGGGGTATATTAGTTTCCTTCTTCCTTGGGGAAGCGAATTCAGCAAATGAGAATACCTATCTTGCGAGACTTTGCCTCGCGTAGCCATGCCGGCCATGAGACATGAGCACATGACAAGGAGTATACGGTGTAAGCCAACGATATCCCGGTCAAGCACGGTGTACGGTATGTATGTTTGGAGAGATTGTCACATTTTGGAGCAGTCAGTCAGTGACAGACAAGGTCAGGGGTTTTTAAAACTGCATATTGCGAAAAAAGAAGGGCCAGGCCATATCCCTTGTCCTTGTCCTTGTCCTTGCTCGTGAGGGGTTTCTTCTCATCGCTCATCCAAAAATGCTTTGTTCCCGAGGGAATGATGATTAGGAAAAGGCAAAAGCAATACCACTCACGACTCGTCAGAATGCTCCTTACTCGACGACTCCTCTTCTTTAGCTTACGGCATGTCGCATGGACCTGGGGCAAGATAGTGAACGGAGTAAGGCCGAGCAAGTGCCATGCTTCGTACCTCACTTGCACAGTTGTTGGACTTGCAGCTCTGGCATTTTCTTCCGGGCCATGTAGTTGAAAGTAGGTGCTTGGTAGCGCGACGTTAATCCTGGTGGCCCTAGCAGCCCTAGCAGCCTAGTAGCCCGGTGGTGCCCCCTCCCTCCCAAAGGCCCCGTCTAGCCCATCAGCTTTGGGGCCCTAATGCCGCAAACAGCAGTGAAGGGCTCCTATCTGGAAAACTGCCACACTGCTCGCGTGCCCCTTCCTCCCTCTCTTCTTGCCATGTCCCGTCTAACCGAAAGTCAATCCTGCCCCATCGGCGATTTCTACCTCGCTGGGAGCATCAACCAAGGAACTCGCAAATTACTTAGAATACAGTGCTGTAGTGTACATTAGATGCATTGCATTCCCATAGCAAAAGGTACGGCCGTGACAGCGCAAAAGAGGAGGCTAGACCTGAAGCCTCTTTAACACCATGAGATACCCAACCTGTCGCCCCGCTCCTGCCGAACAGAACCCGTGGTGCATGACCTTTCCGGTCTTATCCTGAACGCCCTTCATAATTGCAGACATATAAACAGAACCAGTGCAAAGCCAATGATAAAGGCGGCTGTTAGGCCGCTGATCAGACCCCAAATCAAATTACGGCGTAGGTGTGACTCGTGCACTGTCATCAGCGAGTCCGAGTCGGATGATTCGACCGAAGCTGTCTCTTCATCAAACAGTAGTGGCGTCGTCTCGCCTGGAGGCCTTTTGCCTCCAGTGAGAGACTTTAGCGGCCACCAGGACCTCAAGGCTCCCCACGCCTTGGACAGCACAGGAAAAGTAGGCTCATTTGGATCAACGTAGATTACGTATGAATCCTGCGGATTGACATCGGAGTCGCCATCATCAAACTCGTTCCAATATCTGGCTCGAGGTGGACTTGGCCGAGGCACCACAATCCGTGCTCGCTTCCGTGCTCTTTTGCTCGAGGGAGATTTCGATTCCACGGGACAAGTTCCTTCCTCGATGGGTCGGGCCTCATTGGACGTGATGGATGATTGTCCACGGGTGGTTGTGGAGAAGACACTGTCTGCATGGCCTTCACTCGAGGAGGGGCCCGAAGACAATCCACTAATATCGGTAGCACTGACCCTAAGTCGATTTGTCGTCTTGAGTCGGAAGAAGTGGGTTGCCTCACCAACACTGGGGAGGGGTAGCCTGGTGATGTCTTGCTCCACGAGTGATTGCCATGGTGATGGGGGAAGGTCGTTTAGTGCTGTACGAATGGCCATGTCTTCAAGAGTAAAACCATGAATTCGATATGCCAAATGCGAGTCATCCAACGCGCGAACGAGGGCAGGGGTCCGTGCAAATTCCCACCGGATATGCAGGGTGGCATATGGGAAGGTCTTGCTGGTTTGGGGCAACGGTTGTAATTCACCGAGGAGATCCATGTCCACTGAACCAAAAGAGATCGCAGTATCGAGAGTCGCCCAGTTCGCGACATCGGCAGTGTTGGTCATTCCAGAGTAACGCGTGCGGTGTGTTTGAACTTCAGCCAAGGGTTTGACATCTCTGTGCTCAACAAGATATTGCCGAACCGTGGTGGCCTCTTTGGAACCATTTGTAAGAGGCGCGTCCCGGTCTAGGGCAACACCGAGGTCTTCGCGGTCGATGAGAAGGGTTCTTTCACCAGACGAGGTAGGGGAGAGTCCTGCAAGCGTAACTGCGGCGTCCTTGTTACGGGTCCAGTACGCGCTAAGGGCTATCTTCGAGGGTCTGACCGAACTCTGATCCTGAACAAACCTCTGCGCATTATCAAAGAAGACCATGTGAGTTATATCGCTATTGGCGGTATTGAAAGATGTACTTCTCCGTGATACTAGTGATCCTTCGGAGCCCTTCCGTGAGGGAGTCTTTGAGACAGAGTCATCCTTCTTCATGTACCGCTGGACGAGAGCCCGGGCTTCATCGAGGTTGTCTGGGTGAACCCAATAGAAAGCACTACCAGCCGCCTCGCCATAGGGGACGG